AGCAGTATTACAGATCAGCAACTATCCCAGCAGGAAGCCGTGATGCAGAACATTTGTCTCTAAGCAACATAATCATCTTTCAACATTTGATAACATGTTGCTTTATGTCCTTATTTTTTCTTCTGTTATTTATAAGGTCATATAGGTATTAATGTTTATTCATTGGGATTTATTTCAATCAAAATTATTTTTTATAACAAGACCATAACTATGTGTGGTGGGTTACCATAACCCCCTGCCTCTCTAATCTCCATCTCAAATGTAATTCCTCCAGTGATAGAGATCTCTAACTGTTTTTAAAGCAGTTATATAAAAGTATAAATTACACATATATCATATTTGCCTAACTCTACCAACTTCCAAGATTCCTTATTGGTCCTTTAAAGCGGTATTAAACCCAAAAACAAAATATGTATTATTTTGCAGCATAACAATTCTTAGATGTTATGGCTACATTAGTTTTCTTTTTGAGTTTTTTTTCCTTTATTTTCACCTGGTAATCAACCATGTTATTCAGTTATTTTCAAAAGAATTCTGGACCAAGCTGTCCAGCAAAAGAGGCAGTACAAGCATCTGACACCACTGACAGAGGTGCTTACAATGATAAGCTTTTATTTACTTTTTTACAACCTTTATCTCAAAAGAACAAAAAAACTTTTGCTTTAAAGTAATTTTAAACTCCCTTTTTTTTTTAACAGGGCAGACGTACTTTCCACTGCCCAATATTTAGCATTGCAGTAAAGCATACACTACAATGGAGTTATTCTGTTTTGTGGCATGCTGGTTTATGTTTGTCTGTTCACTTTGCACTGATGTAGGCCTGGCTCTCAGTCTCCACTCTAATTCATCCCAAAGGTGTTCTATCGGGTTGAGGTCAGGACTCTGTGCAGGCCAGTCAAGTTCCTCCACCCCAAACTCGCTCATCCATGTCTTTATGGACCTTGCTCTGTGCACTGGTGTGCAGTCATGTTGGAAAAGGAAGGGGCCATCCCCAAAATGTTCCCACAAAGTCAGGAGCATGAAATTGTCCAAAATGTCTTGGTATGCTGACAGCTTAAGAGTTCCCTTCACAGGAACTAAGGGACCAAGCCCAACCCCTGAAAAACAACCCCACACCATAATCGCCCTCCACCAAACTTTACACTTGACAGCAGGGGCGGACTGACAACTCATGGGGCCCTCGGGCAATAGAGGATCATGGGGCCCCTGTGTCCCTGCCCAAACTCAAAAAATCCAATGAAAAAGGTACAAGGCTCATCTCATGGGGCCCCCTACTGACCCTGGGCCCTTGGGCAGTGCCCAAGTTTCCAAATGGTCAGTCCACCCCTGCTTGACAGTCAGGCAAGAGAAAGGAAGGGAAAAAAAGGAAAATGAAGAGAAGAAATTTAAAAATGTGGAACAGACTCCCTCAAAAGCTGGTTCTGGCCAGATCGGAATTCTTTCCCAAATGTACAATAATTATTTGGATACTAATATTTATAGATATTAGCACCAGTTGATCCAGGGAATATCAGATTGCCTCCTGTGGAATCAAGGAGGAATTTTTCCCCTGCTGGAGCAAATTGAATCATGCTTTAGTTTTGTTTTGCTTTCCTCTGGATGAGCTGTGGCTTTGGGATTGTGTATATGTAGGGGTTTTTTTTACATGTGTGTGTGTTTTTCTAATGGCTGAATTAGATGGACTTGTGTCTTTTTTTAACCAGACTAAGTATGTAACTATGTATGTAAATAAAAAGAAAAGATAAGAGAAAGGATAAAGAAAAGAGAAGAGGAAAGAAAAGAGAAAAGAAGTAAAGAGAAGAGGAAAGGAAAGAATAAAGAGAAGAATAGAGAAGAAGAAATGAAAGAGAAGAGGAAAGCGAAAAGAGAAGAGGAAAGGAAAAAGGAAAGAGAAGAATAGAGAAGAGGAAAGGAAAGAGAAGAGAGAAGAATAGAGAAGAGGAAAGGAAAGGGACAAGGAAAGGAAAGAGAAGAAAAGAGAAGAGGAAAGGAAAGGTACAAGGAAAGGAAAGAGAAGAAAAAGAGACAAGGAAAGGAAAGAGGAAAGAGAAGAAAAGAGAAGAGGAAAGGAAAGAGAAGAAAAGAGAAGAGGAAAGGAAAGAGGAAAGAGAAGAGAAAGAGGAAAGGAAAGAGAAGAAAAGAGAAGAGGAAAGAGGAAAGAGAAGAGGAAAGGAAAGAGAAAAGAGAAGAATAGAGAAGAGGAAAGGAAAGAAAAGAGGAAAGGAAAGAGAAGAAAAGAGACGCGGAAAGGAAAGAGGAAAGAGAAGAAAAGAGACGCGGAAAGGAAAGAGAAGAAAAGAGACACGGAAAGGAAAGAGGAAAGAGAAGAAAAGAGGAAAGGAAAGAGAAACGAGAAGAGGAAAGGAAAGAGAAAAGAGAAGAGGAAAGGAAAGAGAAAAGAGAAGAGGAAAGGAAAGAGAAAAGAGAAGAGGAAAGGAGAAAGAGAAAAGAGAAGAGAAAAGGAAAGAGGAAAGAGAAAAGGAAAGAGGAAAGAGAAAAGGAAAGAGGAAAGAGAAAAGGAAAGAAGAAAGAGAAAAGGAAAGGAAAGAGAAAAGAGAAGAAAAAGAAAAGAGAGAAGAGGAAAGGAAAGAGAAAAGAGAAGAAAAAAGAGAAGAGGAAAGGAAAGAGAAAGAGAGATGAGAAGAAAAAAAGAGAGAGAAGAGGAAAAGGAAAGAAAAAAAGAAGAGGAAAAGGAAAGAGAAAAGAAGAAAAAAAAGAAGAGGAAAGGAAAGAGAAAAGAATCAAAAAAAGAGAAAAATAAAAGAGAAGACAAAAGAAAAGAAAAAAAGAGAAAAGAAAAGAGAAAAAAAAAAGAATAAGGAAAAGATTAGTGTGATATATACTGACAATAAGTGGACTGATTCCATACATTATTTTAAAAAATATAGTGAGCAAATGAGTTTAGAATTGAAATGGAAGACAATTGCAGGAATGAGGTCCAAGAGACAAGCATTATCATCCCCTCCGGGATAGCCAGCGTGCCAGTGATCTCCACATAAATTAGGTTTTTACCCGACTAATGAATTAAATATTGCTTCCGGGAAAAAAAAACATTTGATCATAAGTTTCATCTTCATGCCATCAAAAGGAATAACGAGTGGCTCTGCTTTGTGGCAACTTTCACCAGGAACACGACAAGTGTTATAAATAGACACTAAAATGGAAGAAATGCATCCATATATTTACTGGCTGTGAATCAGCCCAGGAACAGTCTACTACTGTCATCATCCAATGATAAATTCATCTTAGTTAAGGTACGCTCTGCTGTACTGCAACACACACAATGGGACAGACACAAAAAGAATGTTTTCTTTTCTGTGCAAATGAAAGGGCCACTAAACATAAAACAATGGGCTTCTCAGCACTTTTACATGAATGTCAGTTTATGTTCTGTGCTGAGGTGGGTACTTTAATATTCTCATTTTTTACAGATTCTATGTAGCTCACTTACAAGGTTAACTTCTAAGAGACCTTTCTGTAAAAAATAAGGATCAGCTCTTTGTTTTCCACTCCCCACCCATTTTTCCCAATGGAAAACCACTAGCTTTAAGGCTAGGTTCACGCCTATGCAGTTTGCGTTTGATTTGTTTCTGCAGTGCGTTTTGCGTTGCCTTTTTGCACATGTGCTTTTGACACATTTTTAATGCATTTTTAATCACTAGCCTACAGGGCACTTATACCCCCTTCCTGCCCAGGCCAATTTCCAGCTTTCAGCGCTGTCACACTTTGAATGACAATTGCGCAATCATGCAACACTGTACCCATATGACATTTTTATCATTTTTTTGAGCAATTCACTGAGCTGGTGAGAACCCATTCTTGAGGGAGTCTATTTCACATTTTCACAGCTCTTACTGTGAAGAAACCTTTCCGTGTTTGGAGATCACATTTATTTTCCTCCAGACGTAAAGAGTGCCTCCTTGTGTTTGTGGCCTTGTGGCTTATAGGGTCCATGCACACTAGGAGCAGAAAAAAATGCCAGAACCTCTAGCAGAAATTTCTGCTGTAGGGTGGCACAGAAGCGATTAAAGGTGCACACTACAGAGCACTGGTAGCGATTTTTGAATTTTACAACAAATACACCCACATTATATTAAGTAGAACTAAACTTTCTCAATCAACTATAATTACTGTTAATCCTTTTCCTGCTAGCATTAGTAAATAGATAGAAAGGTATATTATATTTACTTGTTTTGAACTTTTTTTTTTTCATTTCTTCAGTTACTTCATGGTTTCTGGCCTAGGCCAAAATGATGTCCTACATCCAATGAGTCTTCATGGGCATTTTTTCTTCTTTCATCTGGGGGGGGGGGGGCTTTCTCAGCTAAGCACACCCTCCTGCCTGCATGTCCGAGCTAAGGGCAGATGGATACTAGGAAGCAAATGCTGCATGAATCATCTGCCCTTACTCAAGATGGGCGCAGCATAAAGCATGGAGCTATGGATGGATGGGTGAAGTTTGCTTTGGATATTAAAATGCATTAAAGTGATTGTAAACCTCAGACATGAATTATGAACAAAGCCTATCCCTCTATAGTGTGTGCTTGTCTCAATCCAGAGCACTAAGGGTTGATTTACTAAAAGTGGAGAGTGCAAAATCTGGTGTAGCTGTGCTTGGTAGCCAATCAGCTTCTAACTTCAGCTTGTTCTATTAAGCTTTGACAAAAACCTGGAAGCTGATTGGTTTCTATGCAGATCTTTGCCTGCAGATTTTTTCACTCCATAGTTTTTAGTAAATCCACTCCTATCTGGGAGACCAGATATAGTGAATGCAGGGTCCGGGGAGACCAGATATAGTGAATGCATGGTCCTGGGAGACCAGATATAGTGAGTGCAGGGTCCGGGGAGACCAGATATAGTGAATGCAGGGCCCGGGGAGACCAGATATAGTGAATGCAGGGTCCGGGGAGACCGGATATAGTGAGCAGGCAGGGTCCGGGGAGACCGGATATAGTGAATGCAGGGTCCGGGGAGACCGGATATAGTGAATGCAGGGTCCGGGGAGACCGGATATAGTGAATGCAGGGTCCGGGGAGACCGGATATAGTGAATGCAGGGTCCGGGGAGACCGGATATAGTGAATGCAGGGTCCTGGGAGACCGGATATAGTGAATGCAGGGTCCTGGGAGACCAGATATAGTGAATGCAGGGTCCGGGAGAGACCAGATATAGTGAATGCAGGGTCCGGGGAGACCAGATATAGTGAATGCAGGGTCTCTGGGAGACTGGGAGACCAGATATAGTGAATGCAGGGTCCGGGGGAGACCAGATATAGTGAATGCAGGGTCCGGGGAGACCAGATATAGTGAATGCAGGGTCCAGGAGACCAGATATAGTGAATGCAGGGTCCGGGGAGACCAGATATAGCGAATGCAGGGTCCGGGGAGACCAGATATAGCGAATGCAGGGTCCGGGGAGACCAGATATAGCGAATGCAGGGTCCGGGGAGACCAGATATAGCGAATGCAGGGTCCTGGTTTAGTAACACTTTAAGTAAATTGAAAACCCCTCTAACTGATAAAGTAACATTTTACAAAACCACTAAGAACATTAGGTAGAACATGTCAATTTAAGCAAGAAAATACCACAAATTTCGCCTTCATCGGATCCATCGGGACAATCTCTTCTACCATTGCAGAGCTTCTCGGGCTGCAGGCATATGGAGGTATCATTAGCACAGGGGAATTTGGGTGGTCCACACAAATAACCTTCGCAATTATCCTCATCAGAATGGTCCTCACAATCAATATCTCCATCACATACCCACGCATTGCTAATGCATCTCCCTTGGAAAACAGAAACAACACAGTTATAAGCAGACAACATTGGTCGCAGGTTCATATCATTTACCCCCCTGTTCAGTATCTGACACCTTTATGCCACTGAGGTGGCCACAGAGAATCTAACCAATCCAGGGTCTTTTTTATTAAGAAGAGAATGTGACTTTCACCAAACATTCACTAGTATCAGGCACCGTCACTTAGAGCCTATTCACACCTGTGCGACTTGTCATGTGACTTTTGGGTCCATGACAAGACGCACCCCATGTTCCCCAATGCACACCATTCATAGTAGTGCAACTTCAAGGTTCCTGCACTACTTTGGTCCGACTCTCATGCAGTTTGACGGCCATAGACTTCAATGTAACCCCCCCCCAAGTCGCAAGAAAGTCGCACCTGAAGGATATAAATGCGACTTGTGTGCGGCTTTGTACAGCACAAACAATCATCCTTGGTCAAAGCCAAAGTCGCACCAAAGTTGCTCTCATCCAAAGTTGCATCAAAGTTGGATCAAGTCAGACTGTAAAGTCCAAATGAAAATCATTTTGTTTTAAAATCAAAAAAGTGTGAACAGAGCCTTAAAAATGAAATTCACCTGCAGTGAATGTTTGGTGAATGTCAGTTTCATTGATTTATAACTATACCCCTCAAGGTTTGTAATGTCAATAAATTATGGGTCATCATCTAGTAAAAGGCGATTCAAACATTGCAAGCAAACAGCTAAATAACACATTTGAAATACAAATAGTCTAATTGAACTTTCAGTTTAAATCAGCTAAATAATAACAAAACATGTGCAAAGTCTTACACCCTTGCTTCAATAGAAAGCAGCCACAGCCTGAGTAGAAAGGACTGTCCCCCACCAGCATGCTGCAGAGAGGCCTGAGTTACAAGGCTAAGTTTTGCCCTCCTATAACAGGAAGTGTCTGAGTGAAAACCTTCATGGCAGGATCACCCGGTGTTATTTGATTTAAAGCTGCAGATTTAGCCAGTGCTCACATACATACACCTCCTGTAGACCAGAATATTTTTTACATGTCTGCTATGGGCCTGTTTGCTCAGCAATAGCCTTAGCATGACAAAGCAATACATACACACACATACGTATATATATATATAATTTATTTATTTTAGGGCAATTCATGCTTTTTTAATCACTAGTATAGAATCTGCACTTCTATACCCCTATATCCACCTGCTGCTGTATATTATATCTGAAAGATACCCACTTGCTGACTACAATATATATTGATGTTTACATTCCTTGTAATAGGAATAAAAGTGATTACAAAAATTAAAGGGACAATGTAAAATTAAAAAATTAAATAAAAAGGATGTCCCTCCGCATAAGTGAATGCATAAGTAGGCCACTCTCACGTATGTATATGGTGTTCAAACTACCCATGTGAGGTATCGTGTGAGTGTTCAAACTATCGTGTGAGTGTTCAAACTACTCATGTGAGGTATCGCCATGAACTTCAGAGCAAGAGAAATAAATCTAGCATTAGACCTCCTCTGTAACTCTAAACAGGTAACCTGTAAAAAATGTTAAAGCGTCGCCTATGGAGATTTTTAAGTATCATAGTTTGTCACCATTCCACAATTTTAAAGCATGACATGTTAGGTATCCATTTACTCAGCATAACATCATCTTTTATATCTTACCAAAATTGGGTTATTTATTGTGGTTTTTATTGCATTAAAATTCATTAAGGTGTATTTTTTTCCAAGCAAATTGCATTTGAAAAACTGCTGCACAAATACTGTGTGGCATAAAATATTGCAATGATCGCCATTTTATTCTCTAGGATCTCTCCAAAAAAAAAAAAAATTATATATATACAGTGGGGATCGAAAGTTTGGGCACCCCAGCTAAAAATTTGTATTAATGTGCATAAAGAAGCCAAGGAAAGATGGAAAAATCTCCAAAAGGCATCAAATTACAGATTAGACATTCTTATAATATGTCAACAAAAGTTAGATTTTATTTCCATCATTTACACTTTCAAAATAACAGAAAACAAAAAAATGGCATCTGCAAACGTTTGGGCACCCTGCAGAGTTAATATCTTGTACTGCCCCCTTTGGCAAGTATCACAGCTTGTAAACGCTTTTTGTAGCCAGCCAAGAGTCTTTCAATTCTTGTTTGAGGTATCTTTGCCCATTCTTCCTTACAAAAGTCTTCCAGTTCTTTGAGATTTCTGGGCTGTCGGTCACGCACTGCTCTTTTAAGGTCTATCCATAGATTTTCAATTATGTTGAGGTCAGGAGATTGTGAAGGCCATGGCAAAACCTTCAGTTTATGCCTCTTGATGTAATACCCCGTGGATTTCGAGGTGTGTTTAGGATCATTATCCATTTGTAGAAGCCATCCTCTCTTTAACTTCAGCTTTTTCACAGATGGCATCAAGTTACCATCCAAAATTTGCTGAAATTATATTGAATCCATTTTTCCTTCTACTCGTGAGATGTTCCCTGTGCTACTGGCTGCAACACAACCCCAAAGCATGATTGATCCAACCCCATGCTTAACAGTTGGACAGAAGTTCTTTTCATTAAATTCTGTGCCCCTTCTTCTCCAAACGTACCTTTGCTCATTCCGGCCAAAAAGTTCAAATTTTAACCTCATCGGTCCACAGAACTTGTTTCCAAAATGCATCAGGCTTGTCTATATGTTCATTTGCAAAGTTCAAACGATGATTTTTGTGGTGAGGACGTAGAAGACGTTTTATTCTGATGACTCTTCCATGAAGACCATATTTGTACAAGTATCTCTTTATAGTGGAATAGTGTACCACAACTCCAGTGTCTGCCAGATCTTTCTGAAGGGATTGTGCAGTCAAACGTAGGTTTTGAATTGTTTTTCTCACAATCCTGCGAGCTGTTCTGTCTGATATTTTTCTTGGTCTTCCAGATCTTGCTTTAACTTCCACTGTTCCTGATGACTGCCATTTCTTAATTACATTCCGAACAGAGGATATTGACATCTGAAAACGCTTTCCTATCTTCTTATAGCCTTCTCCAGCTTTGTGAGCGTCAACTATTTTCAGTTTCAGTTTTCTAGACAACTGCTTAGAAGAACCCATGGTGCTGATTGTTGGGGCAAGGTCAGATGAGTCTGGGCATTTAAAACCTTTGAGATTGACATCACCTGGTCTTCCCAGATGATGATTGAGAACAATCCATGACACTGGCAGGTCTCAGCTTTGCAAAGGGGGCAGTGCATGCTATAAATTCTGCAGGGTGCCCAAACATTTGCAGACGCCATTTTTTTGTTTTCTGTTATTTTGAAAGTGTAAATGATGGAAATAAAATCTAACTTTTGTTGACATATTATAAGAATGTCTAATCTGTAATTTGATGCCTTTTGGAGATTTTTCCACCTTTCCTTGGCTTCTTTATGCACATTAATACAAATTTTTAGCTGGGGTGCCCAAACTTTCGATCCCCACTGTATGTATGTATATATGTATGTATATATATATATATATATATATATATATAGTTTGGGGGGTCTAAATAATTTTGTAGCGAAAAATGCTGATTTAGCCCTGCTTCACATATGTGCGTTCCCGCGGTCCGCGTTTTGCGCGGGCACCAGAGCCCATTCGTTTGAATGGACTCCCGTGCCCCGGGACATGCAAGAAAGAAGACCCTGCACTTCTTTGAAAACACAGCCCACACAGAAACCTCAGTTCCCAGTACAAAAAGGATCCATTTCTTAATGAATTTCACATTCTGAGTTCAAATATAACAATGAAATTTGTCAATTGGCTCTAGTTTTTCTGTAAAACGGAAAGTTTTCTTACTATAGGCGTAATTGACTACATAATGCACAATAATTTATATATAGATGTCTTCTCCACAAAAATATAAAGCAAGTGATATTGACTACATAACAAAGCCTAAATGGCATAATATATTGCATAGGATTACCAAGAAAAATTATAGCCATAAGCTAAGTTGAATCATTTTAATACTTAGGATTCTCACTAGTTTTGTCTTCAGTTTGTGTCGGTTTTGCTTCTCTTGGCTTTTCTCTTGTATTCGAGGAAAGGGCTATCTCTTACAACTGCACGTGACTACACGCTTCAGGTTCTTCCTCACTTGACTCGCAACCACGAAGGATTCTGGTGCTTTAGGAATTGGTAGCCCCTCTCCATGAGGAACTGGACGTATTGCCGATGGAAATTTGGATAGTGCACAGATAATTTTTTCTTCTTATTTAGCCCCTTTTACAATTGGAGGCATCATACAAAAGTAAACAATTACTAACATGATCTGTTGGCTCTCTCCAAATCATTGGCACAGCGAAAGGCATAGATGCCTTTTTTCCATTCAACCATTGCTCCAGTGCCGTCCCACAAGAATTGCAGCATACATGTGGTGCCCAGCTCTTGTCCTGGTCTCCTATCTTGCAGCAAATACAAGTTGTAGGCTTTCTTAATCATTCCGTGTTATCCTCCTTTTTTGTGAGATAAAAGTTATTTTCACCGCAGATATAGCAGAAATTATCTGCTTTATTCACACAAGTTCGAGGCATTACTGAGTAGCCTATATACAGTTGCAAGAAAAAAGTATGTGAACCCCTTGGGATTACGTGGAGTTTTGCATGAATTGGGCATAAAATGTGCTCTGAACGTCATTCTAAGTCACAACAATAGAAGAACACAGTCTGCTGAACATAATACTACACAAACATTTAGATGTTGCCATGGTTTAACTGCACATAACATGTAAAACATTCACAGTGCAGGGAGGAAAAAGTATGTGAGGCCCTAGCCTATGACTTCTCAGAGCTAATTTGGAGCCAGGAGTGAGCCAACCTTGACTCCAATCAGTGGGATGATATTGGATGTGTTGCTGACAGCTGTCCTGCCTTAAAAAAACACACACCTGTTTTGGGTTTACTGGTTTTAAGAAGCAC